GACTGTAAAAGGACTGCATACAGTAGAAAATCATACTCCAAAATACAGATATTTTTCTGCTTCTGATGGAGGTTTTACCTCCCATGGGAGCTACTCCACTTGCTGTTCACTTGCAGCTTTTCTTTTTTTCACACTTGACTCCTCATGAAATATATTTGATCCACTTCTCTGATTTCCAGAACCTCACCAGTTACCGTGAAAGAATTGCCTTACAATGATACTGGGAAGTCTGGCTAAAAAAACTTAGTACTGAAGTAAGCCACAGGTTAAGTCCTTCTCACTTAGCTACCTGTTCTCCACCTTGCCCGGGCCAGGGCTCTGCCCACACACCCTTGTGGCTGGCTGCCGTTCCACTTCATTGCTCGGAGTCACACTCATAAATCTCACCCAGCAGTAGCAGGGCGTCAGCAGGTACCTTGACCCCTTACGTTTTGGTTTCCACGTATGGAAACTGAGCAAGTCTCGGTGAAGTATGATGATGCTGTGCAACCCGTAGAGGAAAGGAAAGCAAAGGTGCTGGGAGAGATAAAAATGCCATGGGTGGGTGTGCTTATTGGTCAGAGTTGTAAACTGATATACTGCTAAGGACGTGGATTTGCGTACCTACAAGCTTGTTTCTATGTGCATTATTGCATTATTATGCATACACAGATATGTGAATATCTGAGTGTGTCTTCATACATACATATTCATACACACATAAAGACATGTTTTAGCCCTTTTCTAAATTGAAGTTTACAGAGTAAATCTCAAAAGGCTCTCTGTGTTTCTTCTTTCTGTAAAAAATATAGATATCTAGCGAGAAACCTCCATTAAAAATATAGGTATCTACTAAGAAATCTCCATTAAATCCAAACAAACATACTGTGGATCTTCTTTTTACTGTCAAATGTGCCAGCAGCAGAACACTTGAACTAACCCCAAATTTACCGTTACAAATTAAGTCCAGGAGGTGGCTTGTAAGTGGAGATTGACACCTAGCTTCTGTGGTATGAGCCTCAAGCTTTTAGTCATATTTAAGTTTTGCCTTCCCCCTTGCTTCCAGGCTTCCCCTGGGTGATTCTCACCTCTTTCCAATAGATCATTCAGCCAGAGAATAGAAAATACCTGCAAAATCCTCAGAGGTTTGCAAATTGTGATCTTGGCTGATTCAAACCTTGTCTCTTTTTGTCTTCTTTGATGTCTGATCTAACTTTTCTCCATCTTTCATCTCTCTAACCTGCCTGTCTTTCCCAATTTCTTCCATATGTTTCCATTTCTATGACGTCTACCTCACTCCAGATTTGTGCTCTATGCTGAATAAAATCCTTCGGTGTGACACTGGAGTTGGTGTTACCAGTGTATACAGTATGGGTCTACTACCACCAAAAATAGGACCATTGTGAAGGTCTAAGGAACCTGGTGGCTAAAGTACGTCCACCATTCTGTGTGTCCTTTGCTGTGTATATTCCTCTAAAACGTGTTCCTGTGTAGGAGGCATGCATCTGAGGTGGTGGCTATTTTTAAAATAATCCATTTTCTGGAGTGGGTGAGATAGATACATTCAGATGTTACCAATAGCTCAGCATTGCAGCAGCCTTCACATTGATCTCTATCTTAGGCAGCTTCTGTAAGGGGAGATAATTGATAGCATAATTGATATAAAAAATATTTTGGTCACAGCTGTTTCAGTAATATGAGGTTCCACCCAGATACACAACCCTTGCTACAGACATGTAGCAACTTAAAGACATACTGGATTACAGCTTTTTGCTCATAAAGGCCAAGAAAGAGTTTTCCCACCCAAATATATGACCTTTCTGGAGGTTTCATCACTCTCCGAAGCCCTGAAGTTTGGTTCCCGTAGACAAGATGTGCGAGTTCTTCTAAACTTACATTAAAATTCACTTCTGTGGTAACATTGTCTTTCTGATTTTGTTAAACCAACGGACAGATTTGGAAGGGATTCCTCTCCTCAAATTAAGCTGGCAGGAATGACAGAATATTTCCCTTTTTTTTTTTTCTTTTCCTTTTGTTTTCCACCATCTCATAGAGCACCTGGAGATACCTGGAAATGCTGTGCTGCAAATTCCCTGCTTCTGCTTGGACTAATTTTTTCTCTCTCTGCTTTCGGTGTCACATTGCTGGTTTTATACCAGGAACTACTGCTACTGAGTGCTGCTAGGCTAGTAAGCTGTTTCTTGCAAATCAGACTAAGCATCAAAAAGCCTAATTTACAACTGCATATTTGTAAATATCTACTGCAGAGAGAAGGAAATTAAGATACTACTACAGTACCATAGAATCATAGAATGGTTTGAGTTGGAAAGGACCTTAGGATCATCTAGTTCCAACCCCCTGCCTTAGGCAGGGACGCCTCACACTAGGCTCTGTCCAACCTGGCCTTGAACACTGCCAGGGATGGAGCATTCACCACTTCTCTGGGCAGCCTATTCCAGTGCTTCACCAGCCTCACAGTAAAGAACTTCTTCCTTATATCTAACCTGAATTTCCCCTGTTTTGGTTTCAACCCATCACCCCTTGTCCTGTCGTTACAGTTCCTGATGAAAAGTCCCTCTCCAGCATCCTTGTAGCTCCCTTCAGATACTGGAAGGCTGCTCTGAGGTCTCCACGCAGCCTTCTCTTCTCCAGGCTGTACAGCCCCAACTTTCTCAGCCTGTCTTCATACGGGAGGTGCTCCAGCCCTCTTATCATCCTCGTGGCCTCCTCTGGACTTGCTCCAACAGCTCCATGGCCTTTTTATGTTGAGGACACCAGGACCACACACAGTGCTCCAAGTGGGATCTCATGAGAGCAGAGTAGAGGGCAGGACCACCTCCTTCAATCTGCATTTCTAGCTTTACTAAGTATCATGCCTGTGCACTCAATGCCACATTAGTTAAACACTTTCTTTGTTTATGAAGTCTCTGTCTGAGTTGATCCCATTCACTCTGATTCAAAGAACCTGTTAAGAAATCGCCAACAAAGTTTTAAGTTGACAAGCAGGTATTCTTTACTGTGGTGCCAGGGAGCATGGGGGATAGCTCCTCCTAGCGTGTCCCCCCGAGCATCAAACAAACTGTGATTATATCGTTGTTAATCATACATATTCATTTCATTATATGCATATTTATGAAGTTGTTTATACATGACATCACATTTCTAGAATATTCTTCCCGCATGTGCACTTCATTATGGTAGTGGTCTTTGGGACCCCTGGTGGCTGTTTCTTCATCATCTTCCTCTTCATCACCTTGTCCTTTGACTGATCTTCAAGTTTAGAAAGTCCCATCGTCAAGCCAGATACCACTAATCCAGTTCTGGCTGGTCATCGTGAAACATTTACCCTAGATACTTTCTCACTGTCATCTATTACAACATCCTACTTTTTCAATGATGTCATCTATTACAAGACCACAAAGGCTAACTGAATTTAAAAGATTTGTACTTGTCTCAACTCTTCCTAAGATGTCAACTAATGCAACCACTAGGAGGGAACAAATCTGTGCTGTGCAGTGATTGGTGAGCTTGCAGCAGAAGAGGCCCTGAAGGCAAATGCTTCACTGCCCCGTAACCTGCCACATCGTCTGTTTCCTTCTCTCCACCAGGTTCTGCCCAACTTGCTGTTGATACCTGGATGCCAGAAAAGCTATCAGCCATGCCACAGCTGTGTGACTTGATGCCATTCCGTAGACTTTCTTTCTCTCTGGGTGCACTGGGGTGACTAGAGAAGTTATGCTTTTCTGTTCTGGGGCTAGTGGTCAGGAAGAGATATAAATTCTGTTCTTCACTGCAAAAGAAAAAAAAAAAGGCTCACAGGTTAATTCCAGCTTCTGGCAGGCAAATTTGTCTGCAAGCCCAGATCCACTTCTGAATGGGACTCACCCTCTTCTGGAAAACTTGCTTTCAGTTTCACCCAGTGGGGTGGTTTATTTACATAAAGGCCATGAGGAAATATTCAGCTGAATAACATCACTAACGTCCAAAGTTCAGTTTTGGGGAATAGAAACTGAAAAAGAAAGTAAGACTAATAAAAGGACAACCCAACAGGTGACAGACAAATCCAGAAATATCCATGGCTGCTGTCACTGGTAGAGGTAAGAATATGTATGTGAAAAGCAGGTCTATTTCTCCATATTCAGTGTAGGTATTTACTGTAGTTGTAATCTAAGGAACTGGTGAATACAGACAAATGTGTACATTGCAACATGAGAATACACAGGAGGCATTTGTGTATTTGTGTGTCTTATCTCTTTGAATGTAGGTCCAGCTTCAAAAGACGAATGTTTTTGTTAACCAGATGTGGCATTGGGCAGGGAGTGTGTAGACTGAAATGGACCAAGGCAGGACATGTAAAGGAAATTTTATTTTCTGACCTACTATCCCAAATGACTCACAAATCTTTTGTATATAGGTCCTGCACCCAGAAAGAACAACCAAAGGTAAGAGATAACATTTGTGTCACTGTGTGCTGTCTGGAACCTGTGGGAATTTCCAGAGACAGGCAAAGCTAAGAATCCTTGTGCTCTGTTTTCTTCTTATTATCCCTTTCCTCAGTCTTCCTTTTCAGTTGTCTCATTGCTTTGACCAGTGTTGATCTCAGAGTGGTGATGGGGTTGCTTAACTAAGTGCTATGGGTGTTTCATCAGGGTCACTTTAGGGGAAAAAATTTGGACCCTTCATCAAATTCCAAATTCCAGATTTAGATCATTAGATTGCAACATTCTTCAGTCTGTCATTTTGTGACGGGAAAGGCTGAGAATGGGAGGCTTGGCTGATGTTGAGAGCAGGCAGCACCAAACACGTCTGGAGTGTTGGGATGACAGTACTCCTGGTGCTTTTGTTGCAGGTGGAAGATACAGCCAAACGACTTCAAAAGAAATTATTTGCCTTACCAGCATCCAAAGGTGGTGTGCCTGCTGTATGAAATCAGATGGAACAGAGGTACCATCTGGAGGAGCTGGTGCTCAAACAATTCTACCCAACATGCTGAAGTCAACTTCTTGGAAAATTGTTTCAAGGCCAAGCCATCAGTTTCTTGCTCCATTACCTGGGTCCTGTCTACAACACCCTGCGGGGAATGTTCCAGAAGAATTCTGGATTTCCTGAGTGTATATCCCAATGTGACCTTGAAAATATACGCAGCCAAGCTGTTCAAGCACCTGGATAACCGTAACCGGCAAGGTCTCTGGAACCTGGCAAATAACAGAGTCATTATACGTATCATGAACCTTGAAGGTAACCCAACTACTCCTTGTTTTTGACTAGGTGTGGATTGAAAGTTTTGGGATTATGTGCACTCTCAGCAGTTGTGTTTTGTAATGGTGATGATGACTGGCATTGGGGAGGACTAATGAATGCAAAATGCCATTCTCTTGTGCCTTATTTCTTCTCCAGAACACGGAAAGTTACGTCTTTCTCTAGCCTCCCACACCTCCTTTACATACAGTGAAAAATCCTGAGTGTAAGGCAGAACCTGTCCCTCCTAGTATATATATGCAGTTGCAGCAAGTAATTGGTTTCCTTTGATAGCTGGAGAAGAGAAGGACACATATCTAAAGGAGGCTTTCAGATATTGCCTCACAGAGGACACGTCTTGCATGTGTGTCTTTTTATATGCATATCTTGCTTGCCTGTTGATGTTTGACTATAAAAATAGTCCAGACGTAGCCCACAGAAAAGAATGTACATTTGAAGAGGTGAATCTCACATACCTCTCTGGATACTTACTACTGGAGTGTGGAGCTACAAAATCCACCAGGTCAAATGTAAACTTCAAGGAAATGGCATATCTTGAGGATCCTGTCTCTGGGATTGCACCACCAGAGCAGTGACAGAAACTTTGGCCATCGTATTAACAGTAAGATCAATATGAAACTGCTATATGTTAGGGTGTTCACTCCAGGTTTTCTCTGACTATTGAGATGGCCAACATTAATGATTAAAGCAACGAGTTTATTTTCCTACCTAAAGCTGTTGTGATCAAGCACAAATCTGCCAAAAGGTATGCCTGAACAGACCTGATTGTGTGTGCCACCTCCCTTTCCAGTCCTTCCCAGAGAAGCAGCCTGCTACTCACTGGTTCCTTCTCCCTTGGCCAGCATGCTCTGGCTTTATGCCCTGGTGTGCTATCTGTGATAGGGGTTGCCCAGGACACCATAGCGATCTCTCCCTGGCAATTCCCCTTTTTAGACATATTGCTATTTGCAGAGTTTCGGTTCCCCTTTCCACTAACTTATTTGTGTAGTTGCAAGTCATTGTTGATCCCTTGCATGAATGCCCCCAAATGAGTATCTGTCTCCTGCTCTTTACCATTTTCTTGCTGAGAAAAAAGTGACTCACTGGCATATTAATGAAGAAGGAACTGGGTACGCCTTTCATCAAGAGTGACTGGATCTCTCTCTTCTCAGATTACAATTACTACTGGAAAAGATTTGTTGCATACCAACATGGAGAAGATGATTATTTGCCCTGGAATTTCGCTCCATACATCTTTCTGAATTGGACAGAGCTCTGTCATATCCTTTTGGTTAGTAGGCACTAGAAGAAAACACTGAGTGGAAAGTAATGCAAAATCTTGGGAAAAGGAGGTTTGAAGTATCCTGCGAATGGCTTTAGCAGAAATGAGAGTAGGAAAAATAAACGTGGGCTTGATGCTGAGTGAACAGAGGGCCCAGCAGGCAAGAGATTGCCCAGGACTATGCTGCTACATTGTGCCTTTGTAGCCAGGAGTAGAGAAGAGATTTAGCAATACTCACAGGGGATTTTTTGCAAAAAAAAAGGAAATTATTTCAACCCTTTACATGGGTCACCTACAAGTACATTAGCTTGCAGCTTACTGGAGCTATTTGATCCCAAAAGCTCCTTCAGCTGTGTAAACATGATTCAGGTAGACTCTTTTTGCCTCTCAGGACAGCGCCACTAATTTCAGTTGATTTCAGAGCAAGATCAAAAGCTCGGATGTGTGGATTCACTTTCAGGAACAGAACTTACACGCAAGAGTATCATATGACTGAGATCTGCATTCCTTATTTCTTGCAATCCACACAGCTGCAGAAGTTATTGGTATGACCTGGTATCTTACTGTACAAGAAAGAGAAGGTGGTCTACTGAATAGGGGAGAAAGCCAGGACTGGAGTTAACTTCCTGGCTCAGCCACTCTTTGTGGGGCAAGCCAGTTCTTGCTTGAACTGGTCCCTGTATGTAGAATTAGACACATTAGACTTCATTTCAGTAATTAATAACAAACATCATCGACTAACTACCAACCCTCCAAAGAAGGAATAGAAAGGTGTATTTGCTTGTGAACACCCATCCCCATTACACTAATTACGCAGAGGGGTAATGAGAGTTAGTTTCAGGCACATGCTCTAGAGAAATACAGACTGTTATGTAAAATCCCTGGCAGAAGAAATAGTCTGAGGAACTGGAGAGGGTCTGGTGAGTGCAACTGCAGTGGTAGGGAGGCTGGAGCACTTGGCCTACAGGGAAAGGCTGAGGGAATCAGGTTTGTTAGACCTAATGAAAAGAAAGCGAAGTGGGATCTAGCTGCAGTTTTCCACTACATAAAGGCAGCAAAGACAGAACCAGGCTCTCCTTAGTGTTGCACAGGGGCAAAATGAGGCAATAGGCACAAGCTGTGACAAGGGAAATTCCAACTGGACAGAAGGAAAAGTCTCCCCTGACAGCAGCGCTGTACTGGAGCAGGTGCCCAGAAGAGGGTCCATCCATCCCTGTCAGACACCCATCCCTAGAGACACAGAGGGCTTCCCTCTAAGCTTTGGAGTTAGCCATGCTGCAAAGATGTTGTTGGACTAGAGACCTCTAGAGGGCCTTTTTGGCCCTCGCCTCCCCAACTCTGCCTTTCCACGGGATCTATATTCACTTTCCCTGGATTTAGCTACACAATCTGCCACCTTTTAAATGCTCCTGTTTCTGAGTGGTCAGTCTTTCTAGGAGGGGTTTACATTGCACAGTAAATCCTGAGGTGCTACGCTGTTGTCTAGAAAGCTGCGTCCCAAGAGAGATTATCTTAATTGCTGAAGGTGGATCAGAGCGATCTCTTGGAATAGATGTATTTTCCAACTCTGGATCATGTTGAAAAGACAAGTTTAAGCTTTTGGCATCTAATTTTTAATGTTCATGTTCCTTTCTTCCTGCTAGGGACTTCCTGCAATGCTGCCAAACTGAATACTAACTAGCACCAGCATCATGCCTTCAAAAGTCCTTTCTACTGCAGCCTGGAGCTATGAGCTTCATTCTGCCACCAGAGAACGCTCTTAGCACTGGCTGGGCTTTGCCAGCATTTGACACAGCAGAAGTAGCACATGAGAAACCATCAGAAAGTTTGCATGAGGCATCAGAAAGTTTGCAAGAGGACACAGTACTCTGTTACAGAGAGTAACATCCTTCATGTTCTGATCTGATCCAAAGAAGTAACCAGGGCAATGCATTCTGGTTTTGAGAATTTCTTATGAATCGCACTTTTATGGCTATGTGTGTAATATTTCAGGAACTACTTCATACTGTTACAGTATTTGTGTAATATTATTCTTATATTACTGCTTCTATTAATGTATAATACAATTATATTACTAAGGATTATATTGCTTCATTTAAAGGTTTTATTTTCCCTATTTTTATGGCTTTAGGAACAATAGAATAAAAGAGAAAATGTCAACTCTGTGGAAACTTTGCTTTTCTTATTCAGTTCTTGGGCACACATCCTTCCCTTGCAATTCCACATTCTGGAGTCCTAGCTGCTCATTGAAAACTGGGGGAACACAGTAAAAAAATCTGCTTTTCCAGCTGGAAACACTGAGTGGAATGGTGAGGTAGGAGATGTTGAAAGCTCTGAGTTCTCTCTACAGACAGAAGGAAAAAAGGAGGTACAGGTATCTTTGGCCTTGAGGAAGTTTTCAGTTTGTGCTGCAGATAATGAAAAACATCTGAATGAATCATGCTGGGAGCTCCATATTTTATGATTCTCAGCCCCTCCAAGCAGGAGGCCCGTTGTGTGAGCCCACTGGAGAATGTGCTGCTGCTGGGATCTGCAACATGCAGGCACAACAGATTATTTGAAGAATAAGGCAGGGGATGGTAGGAACCATGCCTATCTCTTCTAGTGGAGTAACGCTTATAGCATCCTTTGGCCATGCCAAACTGTCCAGATGTTTAGCAGACAATCAGGACAACCAGAAAAGCTGCAGGCTGAGGTAGCAGCTCCGGTCCCTGTTGTCTGAGAGAATATCTAAAGCTGAATGCAGCTGGCTGGGGAGTGCCTCCTGCATTAATTGAATTACTTCAAGCAATGTATAGCATAGCTAAAGGTTTCTCCCCTCCCTCAGGCTGGATGTCACATGCCTCCTTTCTGTTCATTCTAGTGTTAACTCTTTATTTCCTCAGGGAGAAAACAAATCACTTCATCAACGTGTAGCTGAGTACACCAGGGTCCAGAACCATTCAGCAGCATAACCTGCAAGTTACTGCTCCACTGAAGAATGTGACAACTCAATTTGAGCCTAATCAACATACATACCTTCAAACACCTTCACCTGTGTCTTGCTTTGAAACTTCGTTATGCTACAGAAGTTAGCTGTGTCCCATTGAAGAATCTAGAAAGTACAACAGCACAAAGCTATACAACAGCGTGTAGTGTCATGGCTATCACAAAATGGAAACCCTCAATATTAAGAAAATGTGCAAGAAGTGAAGACCCATCCAATATCTCTTGCCAGAAATATATAAGCATCATAAAATCTTGCTCACAGTTTAGCATAGCACAGAGAAGGCTTTACCCACCGCAGTGTGGAAATTACTGTCACATTGCTAGTTCATATGAAATAATGTAAAAATGCTGGTAGGTGTCACTGTGTTTCTGTACCTTAGACTAAGGTTAGACTTTTCTCTTGGAAAGGTCATAGCTCAGTGTACCTAAAACTCCAGCTCTCTGAAGGAAGATGGCAGGTTGAATGGCCCAGCTCTCTGGAGTAGGATGATAACATTGCCTGAAGATTAAATAAGACATGAATTTGAATTAGGAGAAGGTAGGCTGATGGGAGAGAATTTGTTTGAGAAGACCCAAAAAAGACATCAGGAGACTTTTGCAAATAGCACTAGGTGAACGTCGTGGTTTAAGCCCAGTTTTAATAATGATAAGGGAAATAACAAGGGGAGAGAATATAAAACTAGAAGGAGAAAAGGAAAACAATAAACACAAGTGATGCCCAATACAATTGCTCACCACCCACTGACCAGTACCCAG